TGTTCAATATGCACAAAAAGCTTATTTCTCTTAAATGTTGTGCACACATTTGTTTACATCCCTGTTGGTGAGCCTTTCTCCTTTGACAAGATAATCCACCCAACTGACAGATGTGGCATATCAAGAAGCTGATTAAACAGCATGATCATTACACAGGTGCACCTTGTGCTGGGGGACCATAAAAGGCCACTTTAAAATGTGCGGTTTTGTCACACAACAGAATGCCACAGATGTCTCAAGTTTTGAGGGAGTGTGTAATTGGCATGCTGACTGCAGGAATGTCCACCAGAGCTGTTGCCAGAGAATTGAATGTTAATTTCTCTACCGTAAGCCTCCAACGTCGTTTTAGAGAATTTGTCAGTACGTCCAACCAGCCTCACAACCGCAGACCATGTGTAACCACGCCAGCCCAGAACCTCCACACCCGGCTTCCTTACCTGCGGGATCGTCTGAGACCAGTCACCTGGACAGCTGAGGAAACTGTGGGTTTGCACAACCAAATAATTTCTGCACAAATGGTCAGAAACCATCTCAAGGAAGCTCATCTGCCTATTCGTCGTCCTCACCAGGGTCTTGACCTGACTGCAGTTTGGCATCGTAACTGACTTCAGTGGGCAAATGCTCACCTTCGATGGCCACTGGCACGCTGGAGAAGTGTGCTCTTCACGGATGAATTCCGGTTTCAACTGTACCGGGCAGATGGCAGACAGCGTGTATGGTGTCGTGTGGGTGAGCGGTTTGCTGATGTCAACGTTGTGAACAGAGTGCCCCATTGTGGCGGTGGGGTTATGGTATGGGCAGGCATATCCAGCAACTTCGCACAGCCATTGAAGAGGAGCGGGACAACATTCCACAGGCCACAGTCAACAGCCTCATCAACTCTATGTGAAGGAGATGTGTCGTGCTGCATGAGGCAAATGGTGTTCACACCAGATACTTACTAGTTTTCAGATCCTTGCCTCTACCTTTTTTTAAAGGTATCTGTGACCAACAGATGCATATCTGTATTCCCAGTCATGTGAAACCCATAGATTAGGGCCTAATGAATGTATTTAAATTGACTGATTTCTTTATATGAACTGTAACGCAGTAAAATCTTTGAAATTGTTACATGTTACGTTTATATTTTTGTTCAGTGTAGTATGATATGATATGTTTGATATGGTTACATAAGATAGAATGTTACTTAAGGCAAAACTGAAAAGACGGTGGTTGGTCAGGGTGGATGGGTAGGTATATAACGCGAACATCTAGCAACCCAAAGGTTGCGTGTTCAAATCTCATCACAGACATCTTTAGGATATTAGCAACTTTGCAACTACTTACAAATGTTTTGCTACTTTGCAACTAATTATCATGTTAGCTAATCCCTCCGCTAACCCTAACCTTAACCCTTTTAGCTAATTCCTAACCTTAATCCTAACCTTAACCCTTATAGCTAACCCTTCCCCCAACCCTAACCCTAACCTTAACCCTTTTAGCTAACTCCTAACCTTAACCCTAACCTTAACCCCTAACCCTAACCCCTTGAGCTAACGTTAGCCAGCTAGCTAACATTACCGTTAGCCACCTAGCCACCTAGCTAACTTTAGCCATACTAAATTGGAATGCGTAACATATCATACTTTTTGCAAATTCGTAACATATTGTACGAATTGCAATTTGTAACATATAATACGAATTATAACTAATATATATCATACACAATGGATGATGGATGTCCACAAATGAACACATATGAAATGTAACATATCAGACTGAATGGAGTGTCTTGGATTTATGTACAGAATAATATGAAATGCTCTGAGACCACGTTGACTGTAACTGTGCAGTAGGCTATATGGCAAGAGGCTGCTGATGAGAGGACACTCAGACTGATGAGAGGACACTCAGAGTATAGACTCTATAACTTTACTGCGTAACCAACAGAGCTCAAATAGGCCTCGGAGTGAACCCCCCCTCCCCCACAGGCTTTATATGTATCATGTAATAGCACTCTCTGCTTTCCACAAAAAAAAATTGGGAGACCTTCATGTTCTACATATATTTTAGAGGCCATTTATACAGAACAGTTGTATAATACCTGTATAAACTGTATTTATGATAATGTCAACATTTTAGGTTTACAATAATTATATTACACAATTTCTGATATATCACATCTTTGTTTTATTTTCCTGAATATGTAAAATCAGGATTATCCCTCTACTGCCTTTCATTCCAATTAGACTGGTTTGGATTTCTTCCTGACCAATATGGCTGCCATTTTCACCCCATTCTGAAACTTTGAGGGTTTATGACATTTTTCTCTCAGCCTCATGGCAAAATGTGTAGAATAGCAGGAAATTCGCTTTAAAAAATAAAAATTCCCTCAGCATCATTGCAAAATGTGTAGAATTGCAGGAAATTAGCTTTAGATCTTGCGGGCCCCGTGAAACTGCAGTACGCCACTGAGTGATGCAAGTCCTTCAGGTTTGAGATGTGATGGCGGCCAGGCAGCAAATCGAGCCTCGGGATTTGAGAACCATGTGGTGAGGTTTCCTCTGGCTGTGTGTGAAACCCGATCTGTCACGCAGCTCGGTAAACTTCGGTGTTTCGGTTGGCGCTCGCTGTGCCCTCTCCCTTTCACTCTTGTCCGGCGTGAGAGAGCCTACAGTAGCCTGTATATGCCAAAAAATCTGCGCTTCCAAATTGACATATTTCCAGCTACGTGCGTTTAATCGTCAGGTTTCTAGACCGGAAGAGAACCTGACTGACTCTCTCTCTTGTCGGTAAAGCTGTGTGTCTATCCATGCCCCTCTGCCATCTCTCTCGCTCTCTCTCGCTTTCTCTCTCTCTCTCTCTCTCTCTCTCTCTCTCTCTCTCTCTCACGCTTTCTCTCGCTTTCTCTCTCTCTCTCCTTCCTGGCTTTCTTCAGCACTTTTGTATTAATTCCTGCCTCAGTGAACCTGGCACACAGTGCTGACTTGATCTGACATGAAAGCTGAAGAGGAGCTATTATAGCCCTGTATAATCGAGAACACTCAGAGAGAGAGAAAGAGAGAGAGAGAGAGAGGGAGAGAGAGAGAGGAGAGAGGTCAGAGAGAGAAGTACACTACATGACAAAAAGTATGTGGACACCTGCTCGTCTAATATCTCATTCCAAAATCATGGGCATTAATATGGAGTTGCTTAATGGGGACTTGCTTCCATTCAGCCACAAGAGCATTAGTGAGGTCGGGCACTGATGTTGGGCGATTAGGCCTGGCTCGCAGTCGGCATTCCAATTCATCCCAAAGGTGTTTGATGGGGTTGAGGTCAGGGCTCTGTGCAGGCCAGTTAAGTTCTTCCACACCGATCTCGACAAACCATTTCTGTATGGACCTCGCTTTGTGCATGGGGGCATTGTCATGCTGAAACAGGAAAGGGCCTTCCCCAAACTGTTGCCACAAAGTTGGAAGCACAGAATCGTCTAGAATGTCATTGTATACTGTAGCGTTAAGATTTCCCTTCACTGGAACTAAAGTGCCTAGCCCGAACCATGAAAAACAGCCCCAGACCATTATTCCTCCTCCACCAAATTGTACAGTTGGCACTATGCATTCGGGCAGGTAGCGTTCTCCTGGCATCTGCCAAACCCAGATTCGTCCATCAGACTGCCAGATGGTGAAGCGTGATTCATCACTCCAGAGAACGCGTTTCCACTGCTCCAGAGTCCAATGGCGGTGAGCTTTACACCACTCTACCCAACGCTTGGCGTTGCGCATGGTGATCTTAGGCTTGTGTGCGGCTGCTCGGCTATGGAAACCCATTTCATGAGGCTCCCGACAGCTCTTGTGTTGACTTTGCTTCCAAAGGCAGTTTGGAACTTGGTAGTGAGTGTTGCAACCGAGGACAGATGATTTTTACACGCAAATCGCTTCAGCACTCGGTGGTCCCGTTCTGCGAGCTTGTGTGGCCTACCACTCTGTGGCTGAGCCGTTGTTGCTCCTAGAAGTTTCCACTTCACAATAACATCAGTTACAGTTGAAGGGGCAGCTATACCAGGGTAGCTCAGTTGGTAGAGCATGGCAGTTGCAACGCCAGGGTTGAGGGTTCGATTCCCACAGGGGACTAGTATGAAAATGTATGTACTCGCTACTGTAAGTCTGCTAAATGACTAAAATGTAGAAATTTGAGGAACTGACTTATTGGAAAGGTGGCATCCTATGACAGTGCCACGTTGAAAGTCATTGAGGTCTTATGTCTGGCCTTTCTACTGCCAATGTTTGTCTCTGGCCTTTCTACTGCCAATGTTTGTCTATGGAGATCGAACGGCTGTGTGCTCGATTTTACACACCTGTCAGCAACGGGTGTGGCTGAAATAGCCGAATCCACAAATTGGAAGGGGTGTCCACATTCTTGTGTATGCCGTAATTCGGAACCACAGCAATAACAACATTCTCCTCAGTATCCTCGAAGAAACAGCATCCTCCTCAGTATCCTCAAAGAGAGGAGCCTCGGCACATCATTCAATAGGCGTGCTCCTCCCGCATCATTTTATGGTCCCTTTCAGTCTCTTCTCTCTCTGGACTCTTTTATTATCTCTCTTCTACTCCTCACTCCACTCTCTGGCTGCGGGAGTGCAGCTCGCGGGTGCAGTAGGTCACCGAGGCGGTTTAACGGACTTTGCTTATCGCGGGAGTCGACTCGAGCTCAATCGGGCAGCAGAGCGGTTACTGCCGGTTCAGTCGGCAGGAGAGAAATCGCTGCGCTCAGGACAACACACAGCAGCAAACCCAGAAGAGACCGACTCCGACAAAACCCTGTCGCGCCGCGTCCGCGTTATCACATCGGAGAGTGTGGACACACTGAATTTGAAAAAATTACCATGATTTATTAAGCATTAATTGGACCAGCAATTTGGGTTATTTAAAGATTTTTGCTACTTGGCTTTGCGGGAGACGCAGCGCACAGAAACGCACACAGAGACGTAGCTGAAAGCCCCAACTCCTAGTGGGCACTGAGGGAGGTGTGTGAAGATGCCGGGGGATCTGAACTCGATGTGTTCTCGTGTGTGGAGTGTGTGTCTGCTCCTAGTTTGGATATGTCTTGGCACGAGGGTCGTCGGTGTGGTCGGGTCGCACCAAGGCAGCATCCCTCTCTCCGTGTGAGTAGCCTACTGAAATAAATGTCACACTGTCACAAAGCTGTCAATAACGGTCACTTTCACAATACAAATAGTAGCCTATACAATACTTTTTAATTTTTACTTGATCAACTTTTATTGTTATGTCTTTCACAGCTGTGTATTTCAAACCTCAGCAACAAAGTTTATTTGGTAGGATAAAGCTATTGACTGAGGCACTTCGCAGGGGTCGGTCCGGTACAGATAGTTGTTCAGATGATAGGCTATGCGACTCCAGCGGATTCTCGCACTCTGCACTCAAAATAATATTTTTTTAGTTTACAATATGTCAATATGTAATCAATTAAATTGTATTAAACAGTGACAAGCTATCCATTCATTTACACGTTGTTTTTTAGAACCTAAATACAGTTCTGTTTTTGTTAGTGATCCCGCCTGCTTTTTTTACTCTTATTATCTATTTTCTTATGTAGCCTTATGCATAAATTAAAATGATGCTGTCAAGTGTGCAATAAGCCTATCCTAGGCTATCTAACCAAAGCCATGAAATTGTCATGTGAGACCAGATCATACTGGTTCCCTCTGATATGTTCTCACCTGATGCTTTCCTTTATCTACATTAACCCGATCCTTTTATCCTGAGCAGTTAGGGTTAAGTGCCTCGCTCAAGGGAACATCAACAGATTTTTCACCTATTTGGCTCAGGGATTCAAACCAGCGACCTTTCGATTACTGGCCCAACGCTCTTAACCGCAAGACTACCTGCCGCTCCTCTGTGCATTAGATCTTATTGGATTGATAACAAACTTTCTGTGGTTTTATTATTTATAGTACTTTCAGACAAGTCAGTATTGATCAATCAACATTTATTTTTGTATTGAGCATTTCACAAATACATTTGTCACAAAACGCATGTATATAAAGAAAGTGCAGTGCCTGCACATAGTGACCTGGTCTGTAAACCCCGACGCCGCTAAAGAGCAAGCTGATGCACAGTAGCTTAAATACACTGTATGTGTGTGCGTGTGTGTGTGGGTGCATCAATTCCTGACCAGTGTGCTCTCCTCCTGTCCGTGTTCTCCATGCAGGGTGAAGTTGTGGGCCTCAGCGTTCGGAGGAGAGATCAAGTCCATCTCAGCCAAGTACTCTGGTTCTCAGCTACTGCAGAAGGTAGGCTCTGCTCTAGAGAAACTCTCATGTCACAAACCTGTAATGTAGTCCACACAAAATGAAAATATAACGTACACAAAAGAGGTCAGATATCATGAAATAGAAAGGTCTTTCTAAAACCTGTACATTTAACAGATTATGGTAAAATATGTTTTACTGGGTAGTTCTGGGTCCACAGTTACACTTCTTCTATAGACTGTCAGTTGTTTTCACATTTGATGACTATTCACTAGTTGTTGTTGATGAAAAAAATAAATACAATTAAAATATATCTGAAAATAACCATTTTGTAACACCCATGGGGCAGAAAATAAGCTGTGTTAAAAAAAAACACTACTTTGAGGTAATTTTGGAGATATTTTGTAAATGTTTCATACATTTTCACTTTTTAACTTCTTGCTAGCTCACACCTTGCACACACCCGATTATTTTGCTGAAGATTTAATGCTATAGATTAGAATATTGTCTATTAATCAACCAATTTATCTATATTGTCTGATACCGATATGAAGGCCAATATTAAGGCTGATACATGGTACATATTTGTGCTGTCATCACTCTGTTTGATTCTGTGTATGTCTGGTGGACTGAAACATATACGCTCTGTGTGACCGACATGTTCTAGGGTTAAAATACTTTGAGGGAAGGAGAGGGAGAAGAGGGAAAATCGCTGTTAAACAACATTCCTTTTGTCGAAGGGAAATTTGTTGAAATTCAACTGGAATTTAGAGAGGCAATCATGTAAATGGCAAAAAAATTATAATAATCAGGAAACATAGTGGCTTAAATGTGAGTTTGAACCCCTGTAGAGAGTCGGCCACATATTTAAAAGCCTGAATGTGAGCTTTTTTAATGGGTGTCCTTTTCTCTATTACTGTATAGTTGAGCTAGTAGCAACACACAGACACACACACACACACACACACACACACACACACACACACACACACACACGCACACACGCACACACGCACACACGCACACACGCACACACACACACACACACACTTACAAGCACACTTACAAGCACACTTAGCAAAACATTATCTTTTATTGCTAAGCAACAAAACGTTTCACACATTTTCATCCCCCCCGCAATCTACACCCCGTCCTCCACCACTCAAACGTTGTGGCATTGCTTTGCAGTGTGTGGTGGAATGCTAATATAGGGTTAATGGATGTGATAGCTAGCATAATGCAAATTTTGCTAATGCAGGGTCAGTACATGAGGACCTAGCCTTATGTTGTAGTTCACTCAGGGCTGGGTGATATAGTAGCTAGCCTAATGCTAATGTGGCTAATGTAGTGTCAATGGGTGAGTTAGCTATCCTGATGCTAACATGGCTGATGTAGGCTACAGTTGATGGTTGAGTTGGCCAGCCTGCGCAGTCTCTCAGAGCTGGATGATGAGGGAGTACTGCTGTGAACTATCAAACCATCAGCACACTGATATTGTGTGTCACAACTGATATCTGAGACTTGGCTCTGTTTTGTAACCTTCTCCTGTACATTCACCTCTGGTACACAGACACACATGTGCGTGCGTGCGCACGCACGCACACACACACACACACACACACACACACACACACACACACACACACACACACACACACACACACACACACACACACACACACACACACACACACACACACACACACACACACACACACACACACAAGATGGATTACATCACCCCCTGATAGGAGAGCAGTGTTATTTGACAGGATAAAACCCTCGACCCCACCCTAGCCCCCCAAACTGAAGATTACCCCTCCTGCATAACTCAAATCTTTAATAAATGTAAATGAGGGACAGAGGGTTAATTGTGCTAAGAAAAGACTGGAAACCTTTTCTCAGAAAGTAGCTATGTATTTTCACCTCAATTTGGTTTCTTGGCAAATATAGAGGTGCATGACACACATGCACACGCTTGTGGACGCACACAGACACACATGCACACACAAATGCACGCACGCACATGCACACATAATCTGAGAGAGAGCGAGAGAGGGAGAGAGAGAGAGAGTGGGAGAGAGGAGAGAGAGAGAGAGGAGAGAGGAGTGGGAGAGATAGAGAGAGAGGAGAGCAGAGAGAGAGAGAGAGAGAGAGAGAGAGCGAGAGAGAGATGAGAGAGTCTCATCTGCTTTCCCCTTGGCAGTGAACAGAATGGACCAGATCTGTATCAGTGCCCACGTACATCAGAACTTATCATATACACACGTACAAGCATGCCTTTTTAAATGTTCTCTAACAAAAAGTATTATTTGTAACAACAATGAATTGAACACATTTCTGTTTTGAAATACTGTCATACAGAGAAGACAGTAACTGAAAGCGTCGTGTAAGTTAGCTATTTAACAATGACAATGGGATGATCTTAAAGGACCATTGGGTCCTAGAGGGGATGAGCAGAGAGTCATAGTAGGAATGTTGGCAGGACTCCCATTTGGGGCAGATGAAGAGAGAGAGAGAGAGAGGGAGAGAGAGAGAGAGAGGGAGAGAGAGAAGAGAGAGAGAGAGAGAGAGAGAGAGAGTGTTGTGGCATACTCTATTTATCCTCTCCATCTCTCTCAATCTCACCTAATTTCCCTTTTGCTTTTCATTCACTTTCCCTTCCGCCAATCTCTCTGTTCAACATAACACTATTGGAATTTATTTTCTCATTCTGAAACACAAATGTCAAAATTCCCCTCACCCCCTTCACCTACTCATATTTCTCTTCACCTTTCCCTCATCCAGTCCCACCCCCTCCTCAGTCCTTCAACACCCCCTTCCTCACCCCCAATCCTAGTCCTCTCCCATCCCTCACCCCACTTCCTCTGCCATCGGAAACGTCTCCTGTTTCAAGGTTAAACAAGCGCAGGGATCAGTGAGGACAATGCAGAGAAAGGGCTTTTTGACTGTGTGTGTGTGTGTGTGTGTGTGTGTGAAAAGGAGAGCACGAGCTCCCTGATCAATATCCTTCCATTTTCAGCCTGTTATGCAAATGAGCTGTAGTTGAGATACAAAGATACCGAACAAGCGCACACACACACACACACACACACACACACACACACACACACACACACACACACACTGCATGCCTGTACATTAAACAAACATAGAAAGATCTCCCTAACTTCAGTTAAAATAAGTTGTGTGTGGCTCTGTGGTGCTATTCAGTACACAACTTTAATTTCATGTATCATTGAACGCATGGAGCTGTGATGGCTTTGTGTGTGTTTGTGTGTGTGTGTGTGTGTGTTCCCCTCCTGCTGATGTGATAGGGTGTTTTTAAGGAAAGACAGGGATATCAGGACATGCAGGATTAACCTGGACTGTCACTTTAATGGAAGATACACCACATACAGTGCATTCGGAAAGTATTCAGACCCTTGACATTTTCCACATTTTGTTACGTTACAGCCTTATTCTAAAATTGATTCAATTGTTTTTCCCCTCATCAATATACACACAATACCCCATAATGACAAAGCAAAAACAGGTTTGTAGAAAATGTTGCTAAAAAAGTATAAATAAAAACTGAAATAGTCATACAGTCAGTATGTAAGCATTCAGTCTGCTGCTGTGTATGTCTGGAATTAGTAGCTATCCCGGGGAGAGAGAGAGAGAGACAGAGAGAGAGTGAGGGAGAGGCAGAGAGATCAATTTTTACCCTATCTGACCACCTTTGCCGAATTCAGACCAACAGGTAAACTTAGATCTCATAAAACGCTGGAGTGTCTCCTCACCACTGGTTTAAACCGGCAGTATTGACCCCGCACACACGCACACACGCATACACTCACACACGCATACACACACACACACACACACGCACACACACCCCTTCTCAACTCACCGTCCGGCCCGGCAAATCGATACCAGCCCGTTCTCGTCACGCGTCATTACACCGTCCTCTGCTCTGTTTCCTGTCAATGTTTAAGAGTCCGCCGTGTGTGTCTCGCTCTCTCTGTGTGTGTGTGCCTTGTGTCATTCACAGCACAGGGCCTGTAAGCTCAGTCAAAAGGTTGTAGTATATCAAATTACAAAGAAATAGCCTGGCACATTACTGATATACTTTATCAACACTGCACCACTGATGTAAAATACCAATTAATTATTGATACAAAATTAGATGTATATCATTCCAATAAACCTTTATTACCCAATCAATATCCTTTTCATATTTATCTGGACAAATTCACACACTCAATGCTAGTCATAATACACTGCTCAAAAAAATTAAGGGAACACTAAAATAACACATCCTAGATCTGAATGAATGAAATAATCTTATTAAATACTTTTTTCTTTACATAGTTGAATGTGCTGACAACAAAATCACACAACAATTATCAATGGAAATCAAATTGATCAACCCATGGAGGTCTGGATTTGGAGTCACCCTCAAAATTAAAGTGGAAAACCACACTACAGGCTGATCCAACATTGATGTAATGTCCTTAAAACAAGTCAAAATGAGGCTCAGTAGTGTGTGTGGCCTCCACGTGCCTGCATGACCTCCCTACAATGCCTGGGCATGGTCCTGATGAGGTGGCGGATGGTCTCCTGAGGGATCTCCTCCCAGACCTGGACTAAAGCATCCGCCAACTCCTGGACAGTCTGTGGTGCAACGTGGCGTTGGTGGATGGAGCGAGACATGATGTCCCAGATGTGCTCAATTGGATTCAGGTCTGGGGAACGGGCAGGCCAGTCCATAGCATCAATCCCTTCCTCTTGCAGGAACTGCTGACACACCCCAGCCACATGAGGTCTAGCATTGTCTTGCATTAGGAGGAACCCAGGGCCAACCGCACCAGCATATGGTCTCACAAGGGGTCTGAGGATCTCATCTCGGTACCTAATGGCAGTCAGGCTACCTCTGGCGAGCACATGGAGGGCTGTGCGGCCCCCCAAAGAAATGCCACCCCACACCATGACTGACCCACCGCCAAACCGGTCATGCTGGAGGATGTTGCAGGCAGAAGAACGTTCTCCACGGCGTCTCCAGACTCTGTCACTTCTGTCACATGTGCTCAGTGTGAACCTGCTTTAATCTGTGAAGAGCACAGGGCGCCAGTGGCGAATTTGCCAATCTTGGTGTTCTCTGGCAAATGCCAAACGTCCTGCACGGTGTTGGGCTGTAAGCACAACCCCCACCTGTGGACGTCGGGCCCTCATACCACCCTCATGGAGTCTGTTTCTGACCGTTTGAGCAGACACATGCACATTTGTGGCCTGCTGGAGGTCATTTTGCAGGGCTCTGGCAGTGCTCCTCCTGCTCCTCCTTGCACAAAGGCGGAGGAGCAGTCCTGCTGCTGGGTTGTTGCCCTCCTACGGCCTCCTCCACGTCTCCTGATGTACTGGCCTGTCTCCTGGTAGCGCCTCCATGCTCTGGACACTACGCTGACAGACACAGCAAACCTTCTTGCCACAGCTCGCATTGATGTGCCATCCTGGATGAGCTGCACTACCTGAGCCACTTGTGTGGGTTGTAGGGTCCGTCTCATGCTACCACTTGAGTGAAAGCACCGCCAGCATTCAAAAGTGACCAAAACATCAGCCAGGAAGCATAGGAACTGAGAAGTGGTCTGTGGTCACCACATGCAAAACCAGTCCTTTGTTGGGGGTGTCTTGCTAATTGCCTATAATTTCCACCTGTTGTCTATTCCATTTGCACAACAGCATGTGAAATGTATTGTCAATCAGTGTTGCTTCCTATGTGGACAGTTTGATTTCACAGAAGTGTGATTGACTTGGAGTTACATTGTGTTGTTTAAGTGTTCCCTTTATTTTTTTGAGCAGTGTATATTTGTCTAAATACTTCCCCATTAGAACCTCTCTAATATTTACACAAAGCATTTGATATTTTAGTCATTTAGCAGACTCTCTTATCCAGAGCAACTTACATTAGCAAGTAGGTTTAAGTGCCTTGCTCAAGGGCACATCGGAAGATGTTTCACCTGGTCGGCTCAGGGAGTCAAACCAGCAACCTTTTGGTTACTGGCCCAACCCTCCTAACCGCTAGGCTACCATCATTGCTCAAAACATAATTCAAATATCTGTTCAAAATATCTTCTCAATGTTTGTTTTGAACATTTACAATGCTACAAAATGGACCCCTTCAGATCTCACTTACTTAACATCAACAATAATTATGTTTTGCTAAAATCGAAGCCATTTTATTGTATCTTTCCCTGTCAGATAACTATTTCTGTAATGAGTATATATTTCAGTCACGCTGCTACGGGATCTAAGAGCTTAACTAATTTACACATTTTAGAGGGGAAATGATTGATGTATTTCCTCTATTTGAATCCAAATTAATTACATGTTTGATTGACAATGACTGGAATGAATTGTGTGAATGAAGTGGTTAAAAAAAAATTGAGTTTGCGCTGATGGAAACGGCTATATTTACTTGTTTCTTCATGCTTACCCCAATTTATAATTTTAGATTTTTTTAATGAGAATTTTCATCTTAACGATGTGGTCACTATCGATGAAATATAATGTGTTTACTGTTCTAACTGCTCATCTCATGAAAATGGGAGGAAAGCTTCCAGTACTCAAGCTATACTTTTCCGACCGCTGGTGTTATGTTGTACACCAGTACATTAGGATATATTAAATGTTGTAAAATCTCAGTGAATTGTTGTTTCTAGTGTCTTCTCTGAGCAGAAGGACCTGTAGAATGAGCTCTGACATTACAGTTCTGAGCCCTATAGAACAGACATGGTCTCTCTCCTTTTTACTGTCTCCCCTTTTTTTTCTCTTCTTCTTTCTCCTCCTATGTGTCTCTGTTTCTCCTCCCTCCTTTCTCTCTCTCTGTGTCTCCCCCTCTGTGCTGTTCCACATGCTTTCCCCAAAATCTGTGTGATGGTGCCAGTCTGCTATTAACTCCCTCTCACTCTCTCTCTCTCTACCTCTCTCTCTACTCTATCTCTCTCTCGATCCTCTCTCTGCTCGCTCTCGATATCTCCTCTCGCCCTTCTCTCTCTCTCTTCTCTCTCGCTCTCGCTCTGCGCTCTCTCTCTCTATTCTCCCCTATCTCGCTCTCTCTCTTTTCTCTCTCTCTCTCTCTCTCTCTCTCTCAATTCAATTCAATTCAATTCAATTTAATTTAAGGGCTTTATTAGCATGGGATACATGTATTTACTTTGCCAAAGCAAGTTAAATAGATAATGAACAAAAGTGAAATGAACAATACAAAATGTACAGTAAATATTACACTCACAAAAGTTCCAAAAGAATAAAGACATTTAAAATGTAATATTATGTCTATATACAGTGATATAATGACGTGCAAATAGCTAAGGTACAAAAAGGAAAATAGATAAACATAAATATAGATAAACTCTAATATAGGGTAGAAGCTGTTACCCCCAAGGGAAGTTTATCCAAATTGGATTTGTTTTCGAATTCTTTGTGGGTCTGTGTAATCTGAGGGAAGTATGTGTCTCTAATATGGTCAGACATTTGGCAGGAAGTTAGGAAGTGCAGCTCAGTTTCCACCTAATTTTGTGGGCAGTGTGCACATAGCCTGTCTTCTCTTGAGAGCCAGGTCTGCCTACGGCACCAATTCTCAATAGCAAGGCTATGTTCACTGAGTCTGTACATAATCTCTCTCTCTCTCTCTCTCTCTCCTCTCTCTCTCTCTCTCTCTCTCTCTCTCTCTCTCTCTCTCTCGCTCTCTTTCTTTCTGTGTGTATGACAGTGCACTCACTGTGCACTGTGCGTAGCACCGGAGATGGTTGTAGATTAGATTTAGCTTTTGGAAAATTGAATAGTTGTCAGGACTGTTTCAACACGGCTAGCGATGAGATGAGGGGAGGGCGTTGACAAGGGGAGGGCTCTCTTTCTTTTTCTCTTTCTTTCTCTCTGTCTGTCTGTCTTTCTCTCTCTCATTCCTCCTGTTTGTGTCTCTGCCACCCTCTCTTTTTTCTCTTCTCTCTCAATTCAATTTAATTCAGTTCAATTCAATTTGGTTTATATGATGTAACAATATACATATTGCCAAAGCGTACTTTGGAGATTAAGTGATTCATTTACAATATTAACATAATAAAATAATAATAATCAAGATTGACAATCAGTAACAACAATAATCAAGGGTAAAAATAACCATACAATGGACAATAACAATGGCATAGAGGACATGTGCAGGTTGGTTGGTCTGTCAGACACTGTCCCTCATCTTATGGCAGGCAGCAATGTAGTGTAGTGCGCTGCCAACCCACAGCTCACTGCGACTTCCCCTAACAGGGCAGGTAGCTTATTCTCATCAGAGAGGTCTTTAAAACCTTGAATAAGTGTTTCAAATTTGGGGAAATGACACTCTAATTGTTTTATATGTTTTACATTTTGTCAGGAAATGCAGCTCTGTCTTGGGTTCTGCTGTAGTGCAGTTGTTACACAGCCTTTCCTCTACAGCAGTGCTTCTCAATTATTTTCTGTTGCGCCCCCCCCCCTAGGAAGAAGTAAAGATTTCGCGCCCCCCAACTCTCCGCCGCAACTGGAAATAGTATCATTTGTCTATGAAATTGTTCTAAGTACACCTCTGCATAACATTGTATCCTTATTAACATTAAAGAAAATAAAAATAAAATAAAGAAATATAGATCAACTTACAACAAAGAATAACTTTATTAACATTGTTTTTTAGTCTGTAACAGAAAAGACTTAAAGTGCATCAATTTGCCTGAAATTTGCCTTATTTAAACTGTAATTTTTTTTTGACCATTTGATACTGAAAAATAAAATAAAATCAATAAATAATAATAAATTCAAATTGATCAGCAACATGAACTCAGGAGCCCAATATATGAAACACTGACCTATAAAACAAAAATGAATAAAACCATTTGTGCTGATTTTTTTTTAGCAATATGAGGAAGTCAGGATTAATGGCAAAAGGCACGTTTGTCTTTGAGTTTATCTACCAGCTGTTCTTTAAGATCGTTAGCAATGTCATTTATACGTCTGGCGACGGTGTCATTGGACAGAGGGATAGTTTTTATTTTTGCAGCACTTGCGTCATCCAGCATGACAGAGACCATGTCTAATGCTGCAGGCAGTATCAGCTCCTCTGCTATGGAGTGGGGTTTTCTGCACTGAGCAATTTGGTACACCACCTTATATGATGCTAACAGTGCTCGCTGGTTTCCTGAAGTAGCATTCACAAAGCGGGACGATGGTTGGCAATATTCGGCACGTTTTCGCTGAAAAAACTCAAGCGGCTTATCAGCGTGATTGGGGTGTAATGTATTTAAGTGACGCCTTAATTTATTTGGCTTCATGCTGTCCGCTGCCAACATTTTTAGACACAGTAAACATACCGGTCTTTCCTCTTCTCCCACCGTAGTCACAGTGAAGCCAAGCGCTACATACGCTTCGTCATATTTCCTCGTCTTAGCTTTCGGGAGACTTACGTTTGTCTCATTATCTCCGTCTCTCTCCGCCTTTCTTTTCATCCCTGTTAGATATGTTTCCATGGCGTCTCTTAAGGGTTTGTTATCTGCACTTCATATCTCCTACTCTGTGCTTTTGTTCGGTGCAAAAAAAACCTACTCCCTGCGGCAAAAAAAAGCATGTTCCCCGGGGTCACACGCGCCCCCCCCGGCATCGCTCCGAGCCCCCCCAGGGGGGCGCGCCCCACTATTTGAGAAGGACTGCTCTACAGGGAGCCAGGTTTTCCTGTGTCTACCCTTCTCAATGGCAAGGCTGTGCTCTCTCTCTCTCTCTCTCTCTCTCTCTCTCTCTCTCTCTCTCTCTCTCTCTCTCTCTCTCTCTCTCTCTCTCTCTCTCTCTCTCGCTCGCTCTTCATGCATTTCCCTGCTGGGGTCTTGATGTGTTGCCTTGAGTGTTTTACTCTCTGTACTAATGACATGAGAGAGAGGCCATGTCAAAGAGTTAATTCATGTTTTAACAGGGGCTAGTAGTAAACCCCTATGAAGAGCCCCTTTCATGTCCTATACCACAACAGAGCTGCACCTAACACAGCTACTCACTCACACAGGAATCACCTCTTTGTTAGCCACAGAAAGGCCTGACAAAACATCTCTGAAATACGGAACCTTCCATGACCCAACATTCTGCTATTACTAGAGCCTTCTAGAGCCTTTCTAGAGCCTTCTGGAGGGTTATAGAGCACAGAGCAGGATCAAGCCTAGAGAATTGTAAAAACTTTGTAAGCTAACTTAAAGGAAACCATTACTCATTTAGCTATCTCCCCCTTACACCATGATGAAAGGACATATGAAGTTTGATATTGGGTTTAAACCTTTTCACAATACAGGAGGCTTCCTATTTTCCTAGGACCTTCCATCATAGTTTGAGCTCCCCCTAACCCCACATACCTCCAGCTGTTGAGATGATGAACGTGAACAGTGGAGATAAATGTCCTCTTTGTCGCTGTCATCTGTCATCGGCCACTCAGGTCTGTTACCGTAGCATAAGGAGTATCAGATCACTAAACTCCATGACTCTGTACGTACCACACACACACACACACACACACACACACACACACACACACACACACACACACACACAAAGACAAGAACACACACACAAAGACAAGAACACACACACACACACAAAGACAAGAACACACACACTTCTCTAACGATGACGGATGTGTTTCAATGTGTTTTTGTTGGTTACATTATGTGAAGAGAGCAGATACTGGTCAGCCTGGCTAGTGGGTGGGATTGAGGATATTAAACACACTTAGGGTGTGCAGCACTGTGTGAAGGACTGGCTCTGACTCGCTGTTGTCCACATCAATCACTCTGCCACGTGGCTGTTCCCGCCCTCTCTCCTGTAGGTAAGGCTACACTTAATAAATAAACACACATACACACACACGCACAGACACACATGCATGCACGCGCGCAGACACACACACAAACACACACAGACACACACACACACACACACACACACACACCACACACTGCTCCTGTAGGATGCCCTTGATAAAGAAACAGACTGAACAGACAAGTGGACATCAGGCCAGTTACAGCACCACTATCAATCACCATAACTTATCTGTTATTCACACTAACTACAGCAGAGACAAGAGAGAGAGGAGCAGAGGGGCAGACAAGAGAGAGAGGAGCAGAGGGGCAGACTAAGTCTGTACAAAGCTTTCCTTAAGTTTGGGTCAGTCACAGTGGTCAGGTATTCTGCCACTGTGTACTCTCTGTTTAGGGCCAAATAGCATTCTAGTTTGCTCTGTTTTTTGTTAAATCTTTCCAATGTGTCAAGTAATTCTCTTTTTGTTTTCTCATGATTTGGTTGAGTCTAATTGTGTTGTTGTCCTGGGGCTCTGTGGGGTCTGTTTGTGTTTGTGAACAGAGCCCCAGGACCAGCTTACTTAGGGGACTCTTCTCCAAGTTCATCTCTCTGTAGGTGATGGCTTTGTTACAGAAGGTTTGGGAATCACTTCCTTTTAAGTGGTTATAGAATTTAACTTATTTTCTGGATTTTGATAATTAGCGGGTATCAACCTAATTCTGCTCTGCATGCATTATTTGGTGTTTTTCATTGTACACAGAGGATATTTTTGCAGAATTCTGCATGCAGAGTCTCAATTTGGTGTTTGTCCCATTTTGTGAATTCTTGGTTGGTGTGCGGACCCCAGACCTCACAACCATAAAGGGCAATGGGTTCTATAACTGATTCAAGTATTTTTTGCCAGATCCTAATTAGTATGTCAAATTTTATGTTCCTTTTGATGGCATAGAAGGCCCTTCTTGCCTTGTCTCTCAGATCGTTCACAGCTTTGTGGAAGTTACCTATGGCGCTGAGTTTAGGCCGAGGTATGTATAGTTTTTTGTGTGCTCTAGGGCAACGGTGCCTAGACGGAATTTGTATTTGTGGTCCTGGCAACTGGACCTTTTTTGGAACACCATTATTTTTGTCTTACTGAGATTTACTGTCAGGGCCCAGGTCTGGCAGAATCTGTGCAGAATATCTAGGTGCTGCTGCAGGCCCTCCATTTCTTGGTGACAGAAGCACCTGATCATCAGCAAACATTAGACATTTTACTTCAGACTCTAGTAGGGTGAGGCCGGGTTCTGCAGACTGTTCTAGTGATCTCGCCAATTCGTTGATATATATGTTGATGAGGGTGGGGCTTAAAATGCATCCCTGTCTCACCCCACGGCCCTGTGGAAAGAAATGTGTGTTTTTTGTTTGTGTACATGGATTTTATAATGTCGTATGTTTTTCTCCCAACCCCACTTTCCATCAATTTGTTTAGCAGACCCTGATGCCAAATTCAGTCAAAAGCTTTTTTGAAATCAACAAAGCATGAGAAGACTTTGCCTTTGTTTTGTTTTGTTTGTTTATCAATTAGGGTGTGCAGGGTAAATACGTGGTCTGTCGTATGGTAATTTGGTAAAAAGCCAATTTGACATTTGCTCAGTACATTGTTTTCACTGAGGAAATTAACTAGTCTGCTGTTAATGATAATGCAGAGGATTTTCCCAAGGTTGCAGTTAACACATATCCCACGGTAGTTATTGGGGTCAAATTGCTCTCCACTTTTGTGGATTTGGGTGATCAGTCCTTGGTTCCAAATATTGGGGAAGATGCCAGAGCTAAGGATGTTGTTTAAGAGTTTAAGTATAGCCAATTGGAATTTGTGGTCTGTATATTTTATCACTTCATTGAGGATACCATCAACACCACAGGCCTTTTGGGATTGGAGGGTTTGTATTTTGTCCTGTAGTTCATTCAATGTAATTGGAGAATCCAGTGGGTTCTGGTAGTCTTTAATAGTTGATTCTAAGATTTGCATTTTATCATGTATATTTGTTTGCTGTTTGTTCTTTGTTATAGGGCCAAATAAGATTGGAGAAGTGGTTTACCCATACATCTCAGTTTTGGATAGATAGCTTTCGTGTTGTTGTTTGTTTAGTGTTTTCCAATTTTCCCAGAAGTGGTTAAAGTCTATGGATTCTTCAATTACATTGAGCTGATTTCTGACATGCTGTTCCTTCTTTTTCCGTAGTGTAATTCTGTATTGTTTTAGTGATTCACCATAGTGAAGGCGTAGGCTCAGGATTTCTGGGTCTATGTTTTTGGTTGGATAGGTTTCTACATTTCTTTCTTAGGTTTTTGCATTCTTCATCAAACCATTTGTCATTGTTGTTTATTTTCTTCGGTTTTCTGTTAGAGATTTTTAGATTTGATAGGGAAGCTGAGAGGTCAAATATACTGTTTAGGTTTTCTACTGCCAAGTTTACACCTTCACTATTACAGTGGAACGTTTTGTCCAGGAAGTTGTCTAGAAGGGATTGTATTTGTTGTTGCCTAATTGTTTTTTGGTAGGTTTCAACACTACTTTCCTTCCATCTATAGCATGTCTTAATATTATTCAGTTCCTTTGGCTTTGATGCCTCATGATTGAGTATTGCTCTGTTCAAGTAGACTGTGATTTTGCTGTGGTCTGATAGGGGTGTCAGTGGGCTGACTGTGAACGCTCTGAGAGACTCTTGGTTGAGGTCAGTGACAAAGTAGTCTGCATTACTACTGACAAGAGATGAGCTATAGGTATACTTACCATAGGAGTCCTCTCGAAGCCTACCATTGACTATGTACATACCCAGCGTGTGACATAGCTGCAGGAGGCACAACTATGTTGTCGTAGTTGTGCCTAGGGGGGCATATGGGGGAGGGAATGCTGTCACCTCCAGGTAGGTGTTTGTCCCTCTGTGTGATGAGGGTGTCAGGTTCTTGTCCAGTTCTGGCATTTAGGTAGCCACAGACTAGTACATGTACCTGGGTCTGGAAATGATTGAATTCCCCCTCGAGGATGGAGTGTCACGATCGTTAGACGGAGTAGACCAAGGCGCAGCGTTGAAAGCAAACATACTTTATTTAATGACTGAACACACAAACAAAAACAATAAATGATACCGTGACGTCCAAAGGTTAACACAACCAACACGGAATAATCCACAAGGAACAAACCAACTGGAAACAAGATCCCACAACTATTGTGGGAAAACAGCCTCTATAAATATGGCTCCCAATCAGAGACAACCAGCAACAGCTGACACTCGTTGCCTCTGATTGGGAACCACTCTGGCCAACACAGAAATACAATACATAGAAAATACACACCCTGGCTCAACATATAGAGTCCCCAGAGCCAGGGTGTGACAGTACCCCCCCCTAAAGGCGCGGACTGCGACCGCGCCTAAACATCAACAACCCAGGGGAGGGCTGGGTGGGCATTCCTCCTCGGAGGCGGTTCCGGCTCCGGGCTAGACCACCACCCTTCAACCATCCCCCCGTGGCGCCCCTGGTCCGGTCTGGCCCCGCTGACCGGAGCTGGACTGGACATCGTAGAAGCGGATTGCTTCAGCTCCGGTGTGGAGCAGCTGACCGGTACCTGACCAGGCACCGGTGACCCAGGCACGGGTTGTGCCGGACTGACGACGCACACCCCTGGCCTGGTGCGTGGAGCAGGGACGGGCCGGACCGGGCTGACGATGCGCACCCCTGGCTTGGTGCGTGGGAGCAGCTACGGGCCGGACCGGGCTGACGATGCGCACCCCTGGCTTGGTGCGTGGAGCAGGAACGGGCCGGACCGGGCTGACGATGCGCACCCCTGGCTTGGTGCGTGGAACAGGAACGGGCCGGACCGGGCTGACGATGCGCACCCCTGGCTTGGTGCGTGGAGCAGCAACGCGCCGTACCGGACTGACGATACGCACCCCTGGCTTGGTGCGTGGAGCAGGAACGGGCCGGACCGGGCTGACGACTCGCACCCCTGGCTTGGTGCGTGGAGCAGGAACGGGCCAGACCGGGCTGACGACTCGCACCCCTGGCTTGGTGCGTGGAGCAGGAACGGGCCGGACCAGGCTGACGACTCGCACCCCTGGCTTGGTGCGTGGAGCAGGAACGGGCCTTACCGGGCTGACGACTCGCACCCCTGGCTTGGTGCGAGTGGCAGGAACAGGCCGGGCCGGGCTGGCGACGCGCACCGTAGGCTTGGTGCGAGGAGCAGGAACAGGCCGGGCCGGGCTGGCGACGCGCACCGTAGGCTTGGTGCGTGGAGCAGGAACAGGCCGGACCGGGCTGGCGACGCGCACCGTAGGCATGGTGCGAGGAGCAGGAACAGGCCGGGCCGGGCTGGCGACGCGCACCGTAGGCTTGGTGCGTGGAGCAGGAACAGGCCGGGCCGGGCTGGCGACGCGCACCGTAGGCTTGGTGCGAGGAGCAGGAACCGGCCGGGCCGGGCTGGCGACGCACACCGTAGGCTTGGTGCGAGGAACAGGAACAGGCCGGGCCGGGCTGGCGACGTGCACCGTAGGCTTGGTGCGAGTGGCAGGAACAGGCCGGGCCGGGCTGGCGACGCACACCGTAGGCTTGGTGCGAGGAACAGGAACAGGCCGGGCCGGGCTGGCGACGCGCACCGTAGGCTTGGTGCGAGTGGCAGGAACAGGCCGGGCCGGGCTGGCGACGCACACCGTAGGCTTGGTGCGAGGAACAGGAACGGGCCGGACCGGACTGGCAATACACCTCAGTACCTCTCGCCGTGCCTCTACAACTTCCTTCCCTCCTCTCACCAATGGCTCCCGTAACCCGGTGGCCTTCTCTCCTCGTCTCCCATTTCGCCCTGTGGCAGCCTCCTGCTGCCCAGTCGCCCATGCCGTGTGCCCCCCCCTAAAAATGTTCTGGGGTTGCCTCTCGTCCGTCCGACGACGACACTGTTGACGCCGTTGCTCCTCTCTTGCCAGGGCCTTAATCTTAGCCCATGGCCCCTTGCCCCCGAGCATGTCCTCCCAGGACCACGATTTGCCCACCTGGGCCATCGCCAACCTTTCCAGCTCCTTTCCCGGCGCTTCCTCCCATGTCCAGGCCGCCTGCTCCTGGACACGCTGCTTGGTCCTGGTATGGTGGGATCTTCTGTCACGATCGTTAGACGGAGTAGACCAAGGCGCAGCGTTGAAAGCAAACATACTTTATTCAATGACTGAACACACGAACAAAAACAATAAACGATACCGTGACATCCAAAGGTTAACACAACCAACACGGAATAATCCACAAGGAACAAACCAACTGGAAACAAGATCCCACAACTATTGTGGGAAAACAGCCTCTATAAATATGGCTCCCAATCAGAGACAACCAGCAACAGCTGACACTCGTTGCCTCTGATTGGGAACCACTCTGGCCAACACAGAAATACAATACATAGAAAATACACACCCTGGCTCAACATATAGAGTCCCCAGAGCCAGGGTGTGACATGGAGAAGCATGGGGATTAAAGTATGGGGATTCTAGTGGGGGGGATATAGGTACCACACAGGAGGACATTTTTCTCTGGTGAGATAATTTCATTTTGGATTTCTAGCCAAATGTAAAATGTTTTGATTAATTTAATAGAGTGAGTTAGGTATGATATCATACTATCTATATATATACTATATATATCTATATCTATCTTGATCTCTATATCATAATAACCAATGTGAGAAATATATAGCGAGCGAGAGTATAGAGATATGAGAGAGAGAGAGAGAGAGAGGAGAGAGGGTTTATAGAGAGAGAGAGATGGGGAGATAGCTATAGCGCGATTAATAGAGCGAGAGAGAGACGGAGAGAGAGAGAGATGGAGAGAGAGAGAGACCAGAGCAGGGGAAAGAGAGTATAGTAGATGTTAGGAGAGATCTTTGAGATCGATCGCTCTAGTATCTAGAGCGAGCAGCGTCGAGCGCATATATCGTCTATAGCGCGGAGAAGAAGAACCCAAACAAAATGAGAGATAATACAGTAAAAAAAATGATCTCTCTCTCTAATCCTACCCCCATCTCATCTCTCTCTCTCATCCTACCCTCTCTTCTTCTATCTCTCTCTATCTCTAGCTCTCCTCGCTTTCTCTCTCTCTCTCTCTCTCCTCTCTCTCTCTTCTCTTCTTGCTCCCCCAAATAATCAGGGAGTGGGGGGCCAATGATGACGCAGAGCGGGGCTCACCCTGATGTTCGCTGGCCCAGGACAGTATCCTGCACCCATTCATTATGTGTCACACCCAAACTAAGTCCCATCTCCACCCTCCCAACTCCTACGTTTGAAATTTCTGTAGAAGTTATTCCACTTTCTACCCTCTGTTTCGCCCAAATGCTTCCCCCTGCCACTCCTCCCCCCCACTCTGTGGGTCCCGCCAAAATGAATTCCCTCTGCAATCCTCCCCCCACTCTGTGTTGTCCCACCCCAATGCTTCCCTCTGCGCAACTCATCCCCCGAAGCCTACCATTGAACTATGTACATACCCAGCGTCTGGACAGAGGGCAGGAGTTGGGACCCATTTTTGTGGTTATGTTGTCGTAGTTGTGCCCTAGGGGGGCAATGGGGGAGGGAATGCTTGCACTCCAGGTAGGTGTTTGTCCCTCTGTGTGATGAGGGTGCCAGGTTCTTGTCAGTGCTGGCATTTAGGTAGCCAAGGGACTCGTACATGTCCATGGGTCTGGACAATGTGATTGAAATTCCCCTCGAGGATGGAGAAGCAGTCTTCATTAAAGTATGGGGATTTCTAGTGGGGGGATATAGGTACCACACAGGAGGACATTTGGCTTGGTGAGATATTTCCTTTGGATTTCTAGCCAAATGTAAAATGTTTGATATAGTTAATGAGTGAGTTAGGTAGCTCTCTCTCAGGCGATAGCTTAGAGATATACGGAGATAGACTAGCGAGAGAGAGAGAGAGAGAGATACGGAGAGAGGAGCGGGGAGAGAGAGAGAGAGGGAGCGATAGGGAACGAGAGAGAGCGGGAAAGAGAGAGAGAGGGAAAGAGAGAGAGAGAGAGAGAGAGCGCGAAGAACGAGAGAGCGAAGAGAGCGGCGCAGACGACCAACAGAAGATGTCTCTCTAGCTAGAGCGCGAGCAGCGAGAGATGCGAGGAGCGTAGAGAGAGAGCGTCTCGCTAGTATCGCTACATTACTACACCCCAATCAACCAGCTCCTCGTATACCTACCCCCCCGCTCTATTCCCATCCTACCCTCTATCTCTCGACTCTCTCTCTCTCTCGCTCTCTATCTCTCTCCTTCTGGGCTCCACTAATAATTTCAGGGAGTTGGGGACACTGACGCAGGAGCAGGGCTCACCCCTGAATAGTTTCGCTGGCCCAGGACAGTATCCTGCACCCAATTCATGATGTGTCACACCCAAATAAGTCCCATCTCCACCCTCCCTAACTCCTACATTTGAAATTTCTGTAGAAGTTCTTCCACTTTCTACCCTCTGTTTCGCCCCAAATGCTTCCCTCGCACTCCTCCCCCCACGCTGGTGTCCCGCAAAAATGCTCCCCTCTGCACGTCCTCCCCCACTAGTGTCCCGCCAAATGTTCCCTCTGCACTCCTCCCCCCCATCTGTGTCCCACCCCAAATTTTCCCCTCTGCCCACTCTCCCCCCACTCTGTGTCCCACCCAACGCTTCCCTCTGAACCCTCCCCCCAACACTGTGTGGTGGCTGAAAGCCATCACCCCTCAACCTCAAACAAGCCACTGTACTGTTGTTGTACCGCCCAAATGCTTCCCCCCTGCACCATTCGACCTCAACCACCCCCCAGCGTCTGTCCAGACACTCAGAGCGGGATGCAAAACTTCCCCATCCACCTTCAATTGGGACTCACCTATTACGGCCGGCGGGGAGAAGAAACGGAAACACCACACAAACACACACCACTAAACACCACCAGCAAATACACACACACACACACACACACCACAAACACACCACACACACACACACACACATCGACACACACACACACACCACAGCACAAACAAACAAAAACACATGCACACAAACACACACAAACACACAACACAAACAACACAACGCACACAACACGGCTGGACACACACCACTCCTCTACCTCTATCAACCAAACTATCTACAATATAATGGCCTTTACTGTAGACCGGAAAGGGCAAAAGAGACGCGCCAGAAGCCGCGCAGAGAAGAGAGAAGAGAAGCGAAGGAAGAAAGAAGCAGGAAAGTAACGAAGAGGAGAGGGACGGAAGCGACAGAAGAGATAGAGAAGAGAAGAGAAGCGAGGTAGAGTAGCAGAGAAGAGACGAGAAGGAGAAGAGCAGAGAAGAGAAGTAGAAGCGACGAGACGCGAAGGACGCAGCGGAAGCGCGACGAAGAAGAGAGCGAGAGACGAGAGTAGCGAGCGGCGAGAGGGACGGAGAGCGAGGAGCGAGCGGGGAGAGAGAGGCGAGGGGAAGGAGAGGAGGGAGAGGAAGAAAGAGCGGAAGAGAGAAGAAGAGTGGGACGAGAAGAGAAGAGAGAAGAGAGAAGCGAGCAGGCGAAGAGAGAGGAGAGCGGCGAGAAGGAGAGAAGAGAGCAAGAGTAGAGGGAGAAGGAGAAGATGAGCGGAAGAGAAAGAGTAGAAGAGAGAAGCGAGAGGAGAGAAGCGAAGAGAGAGGAGAGAAGCGGAGGAGAGACGAGAGAAGCGACGCGAGAGAAGAGAGAAGAGAGAGGCGAGAGGAACGGAGGGAGAGAGGAGGTCAGAAGCGAGAGGAGAGAGGAGAGAGAGAGAAGAGAGAAATAGCGAGAGGGAAAGGGGCGAGAGCAGAGGCGGAGCGCGAAGAGAGAGAGAGAAAGAGTAGAAGCGAGCGGAGAGAAGAGAGGAGGAAGAAGAAGCGAGGAGAGAAGACGAGCGGAGAGTAAGAGAGAGAAGCGAGAAGCGCAGAGAGCAGAGAGAGAAGGCAAGAAGAGAGCGAGAGAGACGAAGGAGAGAGGAGAGAGGGAAGGAGAGCGAGACGGAGAGAGAGCGAAGAGAGGATAAGCGAGAGAAGAGAAGAGCGCAGAGAGGAAGAGAGAGGGGAGACGCGCGACGCGCGCCGAAAGCAGAGAGGAGAGCGAAGAGCGGAGAGACGACGACGAAGAGAGAAGGACGCAGAGAGGGAGATGCAGAGAGCGGCGAGCGAAGAAGAGCGCGAAAGAGAGAAGAGCGAAAGAAGCACAAGACAGATGGGTGAGGAATGTGTGTTTGGTATAGCTAAATATTCGACGAAAAGCGAGACACGCCTCTATGATCGTATCCGCTATACTATCTCATATCCGCGATACTACTTCTATCTCCTCTCTCCATCTAATCTCTCATCTCTCTGTAATCCTCTCTCCTCTCTCCTCTCTCCTTACTCCTCTCTTCTCTCTCCCTCTTCTCTCTTCTCTCCTCTCTCCTCTCTCCCCTCACTGTAACAGTGTGCATTGATTTGGGGCTTTCTATTTCTCTTATGTAGTTTTGCTAAAGTTTTATTGAGTGGAAGCCGGTGGTCTATAGCTGCAAATGTGATGGCGACACAGACATATGCTAAACAACCTGGGAACAGGACCCAGTGGCCATTGACAGACCATTAGTATTGATCAGCATTGTTAGCCATGACGAGGGGGTCTGAGATGGTGTGTGTGTGTGTTTGTGTGTGTGTGTGTGTGTGTGTGTCAATAATAAAAATAAGTATTTTATAAAAATATTGCTTAAGCTTCCGTGGTTGCATGTGTTACACCATGCAGTAGTCTTTGCTCCAGTCCAGAATGTAGTCTACTGCCTGTAGACATGCTGTATTAGTGTCAGTGTGTTGGAGGGGAATGGGAGAGGTAGTCTACAATATGAATTCACTACAACTTCAGCCTATACTCCACAGTGTAGGGGCCTTGCTGGTTTGTGTGTGTGTGTGTGTGTCATGTGTGTTGTATGGGGACAATGAAAGATGGCCGCTATTAGTGACTGCAGGCGTTTGGCTTCCTCTCCGAGGGGCAATGGTGCATACCCATCCACCGCATAGCATTATGGGAAGGGGCTCCAGCATACCATAGCAGCCATGCCATTAGGCCTCTGTTTGTGTGTTTGTGTGTGTGTGTGTGTGTGTGTGTGTGTGTGTGTGTGTGTGTGTGTGTGTGTGTGTGTGTGTGTGTGAGTGAGTGTGTGTGAGTGCTTAACTGGTTTTCTCCCCATTGTTCGCTGTAGCCCTCAGGCTTTAAACATTCTGTCACTCTGTTTGTGCAGATGTAGAGAGAGAGAGAGAGGGAAAAAGAGAGGGAGAGAAGAGAGAGAAGAGGTAGATATCCACACAGAGAGAGGCAGACAGAGAGAGAGAGTTTTTTTGAGTTTTTATAAAACCTTTATTTTATACTCAAGTATTAACACAAAAAATGGCACACTGCCTTTTCAGAAATTAAACAACACGTCATTCCTAAATAAAAAATTAAAACCTACAAATAAATTAAATAACAATTCAAAAAAAGCATATATATACATTCAACACATTTCATTAACAAAAAATAGTTTCCCCTCCTCCACAAAACAAACCGCTCCTTTGTAAGCCCACTTCTCCTCAAGCAATGGGAGATATTTTACAGCCGAGAAGAACTCAAAATCCACTTTTATTCTCGCTTTCACTAATCCTTTAAAAACACATCTTACATCCTGCCCATATCCTGTGTCTATCTTATGTTTCCTACTCAGAAAAATTGACATATTAGCTTGTCCCAAAATAAAATTGAACAGTTTACATTTTATTTTCTGTTGCTTACTATATTGAAACCCCAGAATAAAAACAGTGTTATTGAAAATCTCCCCTACAGCTGTAAACAAAGACTCCAGTATGTCAGAGAGAGGCTTTATCCTCTCACACTCCATAAAACAGTGAAACATTGTTTCTCTTATATAACAAAAAAGGACATCCATCTCCAACATCTGAGTTAATAACAGATACAAAAGCATTAACTGCAATGATGCCATGCAAAACCCTCCATTGCATATCACCAGTACCCTTTTGTAACGGTGGCTTGTACAGTGCTCTCCATGCTGACTTTACCTTGCCATCAATGCCCAATTCTACCCTCCAAGGAGTGTCTTTTCTATTTTTCAATCCTTTCTGACCACACCCCCAAATGTTCAGCCACCCATCTTCCATCCATTATGGTGGGCCCAGCCATGGCCATTAACTGTTTTAAGGTGATGATTTTGCCCTTCACCAGAATCTTGGAGAACTGTGGAACAGCTGCAGTTGTACAATCCAGTCTTGCCCCATACTCCAGAGGTTCCTCCAACAACCAATGCACTGACTACGCTGAAGTGCGTCTGGACACCTTCATTATGCTCCAAACCCTAAGAAGGCCTCTGTAAAACGGAGGTACTCCCTCCCTAGAAATCTGGCTACTATCAACCCAAAAAAAATGCCTTCTTTAAACCTAATCCCCCGACCTGCTGTAATACAAGACCTGCCACCCCTCTCCAATCCACATTTTCCGGTCCATAAAGCAACCTTTGAATAAACTGAAACCGGAAAGCAGCAGCTCCCACTAGCAAGATGTACAACACCTTGTCCCCCCTCCTCTTTTGACAAATACAAAACACTTTGTGGAACCCAATTATATTTATCCCAAAATAAATCTACAATAATCGGCTGTATCTTAGCCAGAAGGCCAGATGGTGGCTCTAAAACTGACAACCGATGCCACAGTGAAGAGGCAACCACATTTGGTAACATTCATTGTGTATTGATTACAGAATTGTTGAATCTGGATTTTCCCTATATCCCACCACTGTTGAAAGGATTCAAAACTCGCCTTTTGAGACCTCCACCTCTCCCAGAAAAAACTAAAACATTTCCTGAAGTGAGCATCACTCAAAAAAGTTATATTAAAATGCAAGTATGCGCTTTTGGGTTTTACAGCGTTAATGAACACCACCTCTGCTATTAAACAATGATCAGAAAATCCCACTGTGGTTATCACAGTTGATTAACAGACCTGAGATTGATGCTTCAAAACAATAAAATCTATCTAACCTGGCCATAGAGATGGTGTTCTCTCTCACATGGGCCCATGTGTACTGTCTCGTGCCTCCATGTTGACTCCGCCAAATATTCACACAGTTCATGTGTTACAATAAGGCAGCTATATGAGGTTCTTTGTGATTTCTATCTAAATCACTGACTGTGCAGTTAAAATCCCCAGCAATAAATAAATAGTCCCAGTATTACATTTCTGAATGGTATTTGATAATGTCTCTAAAAAACGTACCCTCTCAACTGCCACCACTGGGGCATATACATTTATCAGACACAGTGATGTTTTCATACCTCGCGCTACCTTTTAATAATCTCCCCTCAACTACCTCTTCAACCTCATATGACAAAGGCAAAAACCCTTTTGAGAACAAGATGGCCACACCCCCACTTTTTGAGTTTTTATGACTACACACCACTGCCCCCCGCCCCCCCCCCCCCCCCACTCCTGTTGCCACATAACGTTTAAACCAGAAATCTTAAAACTGCTCATGGATGAAAAAAAAAATACAGAGGAAGATACAGAAACCACATCTCTTTACAGAGTTAAGGCTGCGACTGAACTCTTTCATTTCCTTTAGAATTTACATCACTTGTCACTCTCGTGACCACTTTTCTTGAGTCTAGCAATTTCAGGGCTTGTCAAACCTCCCCCCGTTATTTTTTACATCAGAAACTTTGCTGATTCAATAAACAATTCACTTTCAGGAAAAACATCTGTTACATTATAATCCTGCATATATTTCTTCCCTTTTGTCAAATTCAGAAATTGACGTACCTTCTCAATCCCATACTTCCCTTCCACCCCATTTCTCTCACTATTTTGTTGTGACACGTCAGATGACTCACTCTCGCTATCCTCCCCAGAAGAAAACTCCACCATCT